GCCTGATTCGCCACGGGCCGACTAGCTCGTCTAACGGTAGAGGGACAGGGTCTATGGAAAAGTTATTATTTGTTTATTTGTTCTATATAAGGTTTGGCAATTTCGAAATTCGACAAACACAACGGAATTTAACAATCATGAAAGGCTAACACTCAAATAAATTATGTGAATGTAATATCGAAAATCTACATTTATTAAAAAGAAAATAATATAAAAATAAAATAACGAAATAACAAATTAAATAAAGAAAGATTGATAATATTAGCAATTAAAAACCTTGAAATAATGCAATATAACTGTTGAAATTCAAGATACGATTATACTATTTCAATCCTTACCGCTATCTTATAAATTCCACCTGTATTTATTTTCTTGTCCGTACCGACGCGCTTTAGGCTTCCCGTATCGCGACCATCGATTATTCTCTCATTCATTTGCAGTCGCGATAATAGCACGAGATTTATACGAGTTTAATAAAAGCTTATTACAAGACATACGTCCGATTCAGTTTGTCTACTTTATTTTTCCTGCGCCAACAGGTTATAGGATCCAGGACAGAAAACCGTTTAAATAATTACGGCTAAAGTAGAATTGTGTAACGATATACGTTTCTCTCGGTGCGATTGCCATGTACATTTTCCGAGCACGTGTGTTTGGAGATTGGTGTACCTGTGTATCCTGATTGGTGTGCCTGTGTAAATGACACAAGGCTAACGAATGCCCACAAAATGCTAAAGGTCACGGGACCAAAACGGCTCAAGAGCCTGATGCGTATATTGTATATGAAGCCAAGCAGAACATAGCATTCATAACAAGTTCCAGTTGCAAGGACGGACAATCGTTGGTGTCTTGACAATCGAAGCACGTCTCACGTATGCAAGTGAGAATGTTTTTGTTGACGTTCCCAAGGTCGGACGTGAGAAATTGTTTGGTCAGCGACACTTCGGCTGATATAGGGGTAAGAGGAATCGCTCGACTAAATGTCTCAGACGGATCAACAAACAGGACGGTTAACCTTGAAAAGACGCTCCTGGTTCCCAATTTGTGAACAAATTTGATATCAGTATCAAGGATCACGAACTGTGGTTGCGAGATTATTTTTCGGAAAAACGAAGCGATCGTGAATGATTCAGACAGATCGATTCGAATGGTGGCCGATCGCATTGGTAGTTTGTATTATGTTCACGGCGTGGACGAAATGGCTCAGACAGCTTCGGAAGACCGAGACCAAAGAGAGCTAGAATTGTGGCACAGAAGAATGGGTCACCTAAATATACGCGATCTAGTAGAGATGACGAAGAAGCAATTTGTCACGGGCGTAAATATTGGACGAGCAGACAAGTTACCATCCTGCAGCACGTGCACGAAAGGTAAGCTCAATTCATTAAGCTTTGACCACAGCACATCAAGGAACACAAGGAGATTACATATTGTTCATAGCGACCTATGCGGGCCCATGAGGGTCCAATCAAAATAGGGTGCACGCTACGTCGTCACCTTCGTCGATGACTGCACACGCTGGTGCGAGATCTACCTTCTCAAACAGAAGAGTGGCATCTTAAATGCATTCAAGGAATTCAAAGCCTATGCTGAAAATCAATGTGGAGAACAAATCAAATATCTTCAGAGCGACAATGGTCGCGAATACTGCAACGGAGAATTTGACGTCTTTCTGAAAGAGCAAGGAATTCGAAGGCGACTTACTGTTCCGCATACGCCACAACAGAATGGTGGAACGCAAAAATTGAACTTTAGTCGAGATGGCCCGCTGCATTTTGTTTCAGGCAGACTTACAGATGTCATTTTGGGCAGAGACTGTCCACGCTGTTAATTACTTGAGAAATTGATGTGCATCTAGAAGTTTAGAGGGGAAGACGCCCTACGAAAAATGGATCGAGAAGACACCGGATCTGAAGCATCTACGTGTCATCGGCACAAAGGCGTTTGTTTTCGATAAAACACCAGCGAAAGGAAAATTTGACGCACGAACAAAGAAAGGCGTTCTGATCAGATACTCGGAGGTCTCTAAAGGCTATAAAGTATGGATCCATTCCGAGAATCGAGTGATTACCACTCGTGATATAAAATTCCATACGGAACTTGGTTCGGACTGCGCTAACATCGAGAAAATCATTTTGAAAATTTTTATAGAAGAAGATCGCGCAGATACCAATACGAAGACGCCTGCAAATATTGTAGAAGCCGAAGTTGCACCTAATGCAATTCTTCAAGAACCCAACGTCGAAATGCGCCGGGCACCGGGCAGACCGCGCATTATCCGCACTGGAAGTCACGGAAGACCCCAAAAAGAATTCCGATTCACCAGTTCAGGGAACACTATCAATGACAATACGGGACGAGATGGAGACTCAATAGGTGAATCTACGATTGAGACTCCTGACAGCGATACATCATCTAACGATAACAAAGATGTGGAGAACGATGTTTTCCACGAAGCAAACCTTGCGATTGCTTCAGCAAAGGTGGCAAAGGTACAACTTTAAGAAGCTATGACCGGACCACAGGCAAATGAATGGATGGATGCGATGGTGACAGAATTTAAAAACATTCTCGCTCAAGATACCTGGGAAATAGCTGAACGGCCAATGGATCGAACCATAATTGATTGTCGTTTGATACTCACCACAAAGGATGGAACGCTAAGCCGGCGAATGGTTCGCCTTGTTGCCCGCGGATTTTTGCAACGCCCACGCATTGACTTCATGCAAACCTGTGCACCAGTGACAAGATTGGAGTCAATGCGATTAATGATGGCACTAGTCATCCAATTCAAAATGATTCATCAGCTAGACATCGTAACGGCATATTTAAATGGTTTCCTGAACGAAGAAGTGTTTATGGAAAAGCCAAAGATGCTCAAGAAGATTCTTCTGGAAATTGTTCAACGAGATGGCGAGGATAGCATCTCCGGAGCTAAAGCAACAAAAATGTTACACGATGTTCAAAACAAGAATAAAATTTGCTTGTTGAAGAAAGTGCTCTATGGCCTTCGGCAAGCTGGACGCCAATTGCACGCGAGATTGGATACTATCATCCGAAAGCTAGGATTAACTCCCATCAATGCTGATCCGTGTCTATATATTTTGAGGCGCGGCGAAACTACATTAATTGTACTTATTTATGTAGACGATATTTTGATCTGTTCACAGGATGAAACAAGCATTAAAAGATTTTGTCATAGTTTGGCACGAGAGTTTGAGGTCAAGGAGCTCGGACTTGCATGATATTGCCTAGGAATTGAAATTAATCAAAAAGAAGACATTATCTCACTAACTCAGCAAAAATACACTAAGGAAATTCTCGAGCGATTTCATATGAAGTCTTGCAATCCTGTATCTACGTCTGACGAAGCTAGAGCGGGCGATGGACACAATAAAAACTCAAATAAACAAGGACGACGAAAACTTAACCATGCTTTACCGTGAGCTTGTCAGGGTCTTAATGTACTTGGCCGTTGCTACATGACCAGACATAGCATACATCGCCAGTTATCTTGCGCAATTTAATAATTGTTATACATCAGAGCAATGGGGAATGGCAAAACGCACATTGCGTTATTTACAGGGCACTTCTAATTTTGGTTTATGTTTTAGAAAAACAAATGATAAAATTGCTGGATATTCAGATGCAGACTGGGGAAACTGTGCGATTGACAGGAGGTCCTACACCGGCTACTCATTTATTCTAAGTGGAGCGACTGTGAGTTGGAAGGCCCAGAAGCAACGAACGGTTGCCCTATCATCAACCGAGGCCTAATACATGGCATTTGCAGAAGCCGCGAAGGAAGCCGCCTACAATCCTTATTGTGAGAACTAGGAGATCCTGGATTTTGCGAGATCACGATTTTTTGCGATAATCGGGGTGTGCAGATTTTGACCGAGAATCCGATCTATCATTCTCGGACAAAACATAGATATTCGACATCACTATGTTCGGCAAGCCGTTAAGGATGATACATTCATGTTAATATCAATACCGACGACCAACATGGTAGTCGACATTTTTACAAAAATTTGGATAAAGTTCCGTATAGGTGAACCCTCCGATTTTTTTAAGACTATACTATTTTTTGTATTTTTGTGCGCTAATTACGAATATGATAATGAAAATTTGCGACTAGGTCATTTTCAAGGTCAAAACTTCAAAAAATTGAAAAAAATATCACTTTTTTGACTTTTATTTCGATAAATATTCATGTATTTAAAAAATATTTCAAATAAAAGTTGTAGTTCTTATAAAAATATATCATTTATGTCCTATACATTTTTTGCATAAAACTGATAGTTTTCGAAAATAATGAGATAAAAGAAAAGATTCTCTCTCTTTGCACTAAGAAACATGAAAGAAAACATTAATATATTCTTCGTTCTCAGCCAAGCCCGGAGTCAACGACTAGGACGTGACAAAGAACTGACACCATTTTTTTTTGTTTTTATACTTTTTTTTTGTATTTTATGTATTTTTTAATTTTTTTGTATTTTTTAATTTTTTTTACATTTTTAATTTTATTTTTTAACGCTTTTTTATTTTTAAAAACTATTTATATAACGCTAAATATGTTATTCCTTTCCCGGATAACATCTTTTAATGTCGATAAGCAATTGCTTGAAAGGATCTTGATCTAATCTTCGAAGTCGACGACGCCACATAAATTCGCACAAATGATCAGCGATAGAATTATTGTGAACACCACCGCGAGATATTTCACGACGCATCCAGCGCCAAGAGTATTCAATATTCTGAGTATAAGCCCCAGTTTCCGGATCTACAAAAAACTCAGAATGATTCACCGTTTTGTGGTCATAACCGTGATGTTTCAAGTCGATATCCTTTTCAACAATCCGATATGGATCTCAGTTCCAGGCATCACATGTTTTTTTATTAAAGTTATAAGAGTATCTTTATCTTTCTTGTTGTCCGGGCAAATTTCGAGCCGATAATTAGTAGCGTGTCCACGATGAATCATTCCGAGAATCCACGATCCCTCAACAATACGTCCCCGTTCATACTTCCGACGACCAATCTTACACTCATCAATTCCGACGATTTCACCAACACCTCCCAAAAGACCCTCTTCCTGAAACTGCTCATCAAGTGCAGCCATGCAAACTTCTCGACAAAAAGAAAATCTATCGGCTATAGTTTCACGAGAAATCTGCTGTCCGTCAATAATACTGCTTTCTCGAATCGTTTGCTCAAACGACATATTGACAGAAAAACAGTACGTTATGACAATACATGCCGCAGGAGAAATATGACACCTCTCGAACCACGTATCCTCGGCAACAGTCGCAGTATGTCGATACTTTCCTTTTTTCATGCAAAGAAATCTTCCGCATTCAAGATCAGATTCTAACAAATCCATATATTTTTTATGATGACTACAGAATCTTTGCGTTGGAATCAAACCAACTTCCCTCAACCATCGAAGAGTTGATGAACGATTTTGAAAAATAGATGCCAATAAAAACAAATTGTATGTTTTATCCATTTTTTCGTAAATAAGAAAATTAAAAGAAACAATCTTATTAAATAGGCTATAAAATTTTTACTGGAAAATTATGTAACATGATAAGAAAACTAGCGTCTACGAGCCACAGCGGATGGTAATGCCTGAAAAATTCTTTTTAATTGTACGCGAAATTTTTAAAACGAAAACACGGCATATGCATATATTTTACTTGGTGCATTTAACCAAGATATAGATTCTCATTTTTGAAATTCTATAAAACCCTCTTTACCCCCCTGAAGAGACGTAGACGAGAAAAATATCGGGGCGAAATCGCTGAATCGGGAATCGAACCCGAGTCTTTCGCTTGCCGGGCGACTGCTCTTACCACTGAGCTATTCAGCCCCACACCGATACTACCCTCGTCTATTTGTTTATAACTATGGAAAATGAAACGCGATTATTTCAGCTAGCGCATGAATTAAACTAAATCAAAAGGAAATAGGCTCGTTATATATTAAATAACATGATAAGAAAACTAGCGTCTACGAGCCACAGCGGATGGTAAAAATTTCGCGTACAATTAAAAAGAATTTTTCAGGCATTACCATCCGCTGTGGCTCGTAGACGCTAGTTTTCTTATCATGTTATTTAATATATAACGAGCCTATTTCCTTTCGATTTGGAAAATTATGCTTTGCATAAATAGTTGCAAACCCATATAAAACCGTCTATAATTATAGACCTAATTTTGCATCCAAAGCACCGAGCGATGAGGGGTAAACCTTACTTTGCACAAAGAGTTGCAAACCCATGTAAAGCAGTGTAACAAATTTTACATCCGAAGCACCGAACGATTGGAAGTAGGCGTTGCTTTGCACGAAAAGTCGCAAGACTTGAGCACGCAGAAAGTTTATATTTATTAAATCTTTGTCTTACTAAAAATCTGATGAGTCTAAAATATACTAAAAATAGATACAGAAAAGATTAGCAAGACTCCTACGCACGGTGTGTGTGCGTATAGAATTTATATTTGTTGGGCGGTGGTTATTGCGTGCGAAATAATATAGTCACCACATGAACTATGTTAATAGAATATACTGTATATATTTGACACATGAACAATTCAATGCATAAAAGAAAAACAGTTTTGATATCTCCTGCCTTTATAACGCGAACAGAAAATTATTTTTCTTTTAATTTTACAAAGAACAACGTGACGAATATTACGCACATGGCAGAACGGCAGCAGACTCTATCTTTTACTTAATTAATTGTTTAATTGTTAAGGACGTGACTAATCGATAAGTTACCGTCCGTTTTATCGACCGTAGAAATATAATGCTCAACACCCTCTCTTAATTTCTACCAGTCTCATATAGATATGCTTCAAAAAAAAATTTATTCTATTACAGTTTTTAACTATACTTTCATTATATATTATTTAAGCAATAACGTCTTTTCTTATTTACTTAACTAAAGTGATCTTGTGAGTATTAAATTTAGTTTTTCCAAGCGGTTTGGTAAATAGATCCGCGAGCTGTTTGTCAGCTTGACAATATTCAATGTTGATTGTACCTTTTCTTAATTCCTCATGAATAAAATGATATTTTACATCAATGTGTTTTGAGCGTCTATTAGTAACACCATTTTTAATCAGTTTAATAGCACTTTGATTGTCTATCTTTAATTTTACACCCGCAGTTTCGTTCAACACTTCTTCAATTAGAGTCTTTATATGCAGTATTTCTTTACAGCACTCTGCCGCAGCAATGTATTCCGCTTCGGTGCTAGATGTTGCTATTATGGGTTGTCTTCTTGAATACTACAATTGGTCCGCCACAATAAAGTATTACGTATCCCGTAGTGCTTTTTCTCGTATCTATGTCTCCGGCATAATCAGAATCACAATAAGCTATCACTTCCATTTCGTTGTGTATGTTATCAAAGCTTATCCCTTGATCTTTTGTACCGTTGAGATATCTAAACATACGTTTTACTTCCGTTACATGTTGTTTTGTATAGCTGTTCAGGTATCTGCTTCCGTGTCCTAGAGCTTGTGCCAGATCCGGGCGTGTTTTCGTTGTTAGATATAGCAAACCTCCAATTGCTTCTCTGTATTTGTAGTTTGTCTTTTCTAGATCTTCTGTTTCTTCGTTGTATTTTATCGATGGAGTATCTACCGACTTTGATTCATCCATCTGAAATCTATTCAGCAATCTTTTCGAGAAATTTTTCTGTGTTAGTTTTAAATTTCCTGGAGATCGATTAATTTCCATGCCCAAAAAATTCTTCGGGTTTTTAGTGATTGTTGTTTCAAATTCATTCTCAAGCTTTTCAATAAACTGATTGCACTTTTGTAAATCTTTGTACAACAGTACTCCGTCATCCACATAGAATCCTAGAATAAGTGTTCTATCTTCGTTTACATAGATGCACTGTTCCGACTTTATTGATTTAAAACCTTCTTGCTCAAAAAAAGTCGAGAATCTCCGATTCCATTTTAACGGTGCTTGTTTTAGTCCGTATAAGGCTCTCTGTAGTTTACATATTTTATCACCATAATCATAGGATTTTATCACCATCTTCTGGTGGATACATGTAAACGACTTCATCCAAATTTCCGTATAGAAAGGCCGTTTTTATGTCGAATGTAATCAACGAGTAGTTTTTCTTCACAGCCAAGGCGAATAGTATTATCAGAGATGCGTTATTGACCACAGGACTAAAGTTTCTTCGTAGTCTATTCCTTGAACTTGTTGGAATCCTCTGACTACTAATCTTGCTTTCTTTTTTTCGTTGTCTTTCGTTTTAAAGATCCATTTGCTGCTTAATATTTTTTTTTTCTTCTGCTTCGGAATTATCGATGACTTTCCATGTATTATTCTTTTCCAAAGAATTCTTCTCTATTTTTATTGCTTCTTTCCATTCCTTTTTTCCGCACCCGTGATGGCTTCTTGGTAGGTTAGAAAAACATAATCATTATATTTTTGTGGAAATTTTGTTGTTCGAGCCGATCTTCGCAATTATTGTATTTGTTCTATGTCATTCTCTTCCTCTGCATCTTCGTATTCTTCTGATTGTTCTTCTTCGTTTTGATCATTTTCTATTTCTTCTTCATTTTCATTTCTAAGCTCTTCTTATATGTTTTCCTCTTCTTCATTTTGATCTTCTTGCATGTCTTCTTCGTTGTCAAGTCTAACAAATATATTTTTATTATCTCTTTCTTTTACGATTTCAGGCTTTTCTTCAAATTTAATATCTCTTGAGACGATTATTTTCCTTCTTTCAGCGTCCCAGAGTCTATAATCTTTAGGACTATATCCCACGAAGATAAGTTTTCTGCTTCTATTATCCAGTTTTTTTCTCTAGTGGTCCTAGAATTTTAATATGTGCCGTACAGCCAAATATTTTTAGTGAATTCAGATCAGGTTTCTTCTCGTTCCACATTTCATAAGGAGTTACTTTAAGCAGTTTAGTGGAACTTCTATTTAGCAAATACGCGGCTGTGTATGCCGCTTCTCCCCACATTTCTTTCTTTAGGCTTGATTCAGTTAACAGTGCTCTGGTTTTTTCCAGCAAGGTACGATTAAGTCTTTCTGCTTTCCCGTTCAATTGTGGAGTGTAGGGTATAGTAAAGTCCATTTGTATGCCATTTTCTTTACACCAATTTTGTAGATTCTTGTTTGCATACTCGCGACCGTTGTCACATCTTAATCTTGCCAGTTTCGTGTTGCACCGAGCTTCAGCATATTTTACATATTCTTTAATTGTATCCGCGACTTCATACTTATTTTGTAGTAAATAGATTACAGTAAAGTGTGTATAATCGTCTAACATTGTCAAAATGTATCTTTTGTCATTCCACGTTTGAGTTTCAACAGGACCGCAGACGTCAGAGTGTACTAATTCTAGAGGTCGTTTTGTTTTTGTTTCAGATTTTTCGAATGGCACTCTTGTTTGTTTAGCTTTCAGACAGGTTTCACATGTTGCTTCTACTTCTTTCAGATTTTTCGCAATGAAATCCATGCCTTTTGAAATTCCTTTTAAAATCTTCATTCCATTGAAGCTTAAGTGACCTAGTTTTTTATGCCATATTTTTATTGAATCCAATGTGTGTGCTGCATACGATTTCTCTTCTGATTCTCGTTTGTTTGTGTAGAGCTCTATCTCGTACAGTCCGTTTTCCTTCTTGCTTCCGCAGAGAATTTGCTTTCTATCCTTTTTAATTATTACCTCTTTTCCAGTGAATATCACTTCTCCTCCATGATCCGTGATAGCAGAAACTGATATCAGATTTGAATTCAGGTCTGGAATGTGCATTACGTTTTTCAGTACGCAATTCTCCGAATTTAGTGTACCTGTTCCTTTGGACAACATTGATTCATTTGCTTTTGCTACGCCGACTTTGGATCGTTCTTGTTTAAAATTTTCCAGATGTTCCAGCTTATTAGTCATATGAGATGTCGTGCCTGAGTCCACTATCCATGATGATGTATTTTCTTGTTTGTGCACAAGAAACGACACCTTGTCAGTTTGCTGATCCTTTTTCTTAGTCTCCTTACCTCGAAAGAAACAATCTTTCTCTAAGTGATTATTTTTCTTGCATATCTTGCAATATAGCTGCTTCTCCTTTGAATCAGTTTGATTCTTCGATACTGTCTTCTTACATGCTTTAGCTAGATGACCCGTTGAATTGCACTTGAAGCATCTTTTCTTAGTGACTTTGAATGCTACAGCATTTTCTTTTTCCTCTTGTTCAGAGTTCCTCGCTTCTTTCGCAAGTATTCTTGATGTCAAGTTTTCCAGAGTTTTATCCGTTGAGGCGGTTGATTCCCATGCTGTGACGAATCCTTTAAAAGAGTCTGGTAGTGTAACCAGAATTTTAGAGATTAACATCGGATCTGCTATGTCTGCATTCAAGGCTTTTAGGTTACTTGCTATGTTGACTAGTTTACTAATGTGTGTTGTCACATCGCAGCTTTTGTCCATAGTGTAGCTAAAAAATTCTTGCATTAGTGCACACTTTCGTTGTTCGCTATCTCTCTCGTATATTGCACATAATTTTGCCCACATGGATTGTGCCGTTTTACAATTTAATACATGAGTCATGGGTTTCTTACCGAGAGATAATACGATTACCTTTTGTGCATTTGCGTCCTTTTTGAGCCAAGGTGCGTCTTGTACCGCATCAGAGATTTCCGTAGCTACCTCATATAAATCGTTCGCTTTCAGCAGAATTGTTACTTCAAATTTCCACAGTTGAAAGTTTTCCACTCCGCTCAGCTTTTCAACTTGATTTATCTCTTCTACTGATACTTTAGCCATTTTTACCTTTTTTAACACTTTTTAGTATTTTATTGTCTTCGACTATATTTTTCTTTCTGGGCCCATGTTGGCAACCTGTTGGGCGGTGGTTATTGCGTGCGAAATAATATAGTCACCACATGAACTATGTTAATAGAATATATATATTTGACAAATGAACAATTCAATGCATAAAAGAAAAACAGTTTTGATGTCTCCTGCCTTTATAACGCGAACAGAAAATTATTTTTCTTTTAATTTTACAAAGAACAACGTGACGAATATTACGCACATGGCAGAACGGCAGCAGACTCTATCTCTTACTTAATTAATTGTTTAACTGTTAAGGACGTGACTAATCGATAAGTTACCGTCCGTTTTATCGACCGTAGAAATATAATGCTCAACAATATTTATTAAATCTTCGCCTTACTAAAAATCTGATGAGTCTAAAATATACTAAAAATAGATACAGAAAAGATTAGCAAGACCCCTATGCAAGGTGTATGTACGTATAGAATTTATTTTTATTAAATCTTTGCCTTACTAAAAATCTGATGAGTCTAAAATATACTAAAAATAAATACAGAAAAGATTAGCAAGACCCCTACGCAAGATGTGTGTGCGTATAGAATTTATATTTATTAAATCTTCGACTTACTAAAAATCTGATGAGTCTAAAATATACTAAAAATAGATACAGAAAAGATTAGCAAGACCCCAACGCAAAGTAAAAAGCATATTATGTTTAAAAGTTATTTTAAATTTTTATAATAGATATTAGCTATATCATAGGCGGGGGGGGCTTCGCCCCCCCTGCACCCTCCCTTTTCCTGCTCCTCGTTTGCCCCTCGGGGGGCTTTGCCCCCCGAACCCCCCTATAATATGCCCCTGACCTACTTTGTCCCCAAGTCGTTTTAACCCCAGAGTCTTTTGTCCAAATTATTTCATCCTCAGAGTTTTTTCGAAGGAGCTTCTGTGTATAACTGAACGATGTGCAACTTTCCGTGTATACCTGAGCGGTGTGCAACTTAGCAGTGTGCAAATAATTGGTATCCAAGTGCGCCACTCCCAACTTAACATATACCGTCATTTACCTATTTACCACAAATTTTAGTCTTTAACGTCGATTTTCTCGAAAACTTTTAATTTTATGTGAAAAATGTATACAACATAAATGATATATTTTTACAAGAACTACAACTTTTATTTGAAACATTTTTTTGATACATGAATATTTATCGAAATAATGTCAAAAAACTGATATTTTTTTAATTTTTTGGAGTTTTGACCTTGAAAATTACCTAGTCGCAAATTTTCATTTTCATATTCGTAATCAGCGCACGAAAATACAAAAAATAGTATAGTCTCAAAAAAATCGGAGGGTTTACCTATTCGGAACTCCACCCAAATATTCTAAACATTAATGCTAGATGGTTGTATTCTTTCAAATATATTACAATGCAATATTGCTATGATGTTTCATTGCAATATTACAAAAGCGGACATCTTAACGTTGTTACAATTTTACAGCAATGATACAGTAAAGTTTTGCAACCGATTTGCAATATTGTCATGTTTCAATGAAATTATTCTGTAATACATCTGCAACTTTTCTGTGTTATAAGGGATCTTGCACAAACCGCGACAGACCGTCACAAAATTGTCATACGAACCATCATAAAACGTCACTACACAATTGCTACGTTACGTAAAGTAACATTAATAATCTCGAATTCACAATACAAAACTGTCAAAAGTGCAATTATAACAGGTTATTAGTACACGTCAATAATCGATAATGTCGCAGAGTACCGTTAGCGCGATCTTTCCTCAAACCTCTCAACCATACAAGACTACTAATACATCTCACTTTACAAGTGTTGTATACGGATATACAATACTATTATACAGGATGATTTAAAATAACCTATTATCCTTAAAATGACATTCTTGACTCAATTCTAAGACGATTATTAATAAATTTTCCGATGTATCGTAGTTTCTAACTTTTACGCACTTAAAGTAGATGTAGAATAGTCAAGTAGATATCATGTCACACGTTTTGAGAGACAACGATCTACACTAAATAATTAATCAAAAGTTTTTCTTCTTAAACTGTATCATGTTTCTTATTCACATTTATTCACTCACTCGATAAAACGAAATATTTATTAATGACTCTAATCACTAATCACTATCAATCATTGTTATCAATAATCACTCCTGACAATTAAAAGTCATTCGATAATTGAAATAAACACATATGCTAGTGATATTGCGATATTTACTCGGCAATAGCAAGCAATTTTTAAGCTTTTTAGGTTAAGATATTACCAGGTTCTTCGCTGTTGCTATGCGTGAAATATACAGAGTGTAATTGAAAAGGCGGAATAACGCTATTTGCAGAGCAAATAGCGTTATTCCTGATTAAAAATCGAGTCGAAAAGTCCTGAACCATTTTTTCTATAATATTTAATAAAGCGGTAATTATTGAGTAAAGTTGCTCCAATAAGCATCGACCTTTAATTTCCTTTTCTTTAAAGAAATGCTTTTAACGGAAGAAATATGATTTTTAATGTAAAATAAAGTTTTTTGCATTATTACAACTCAAGAATATTGCACGATAACGGCATGACATAGCGCCGTAGCGGCGGAGCGTTCACGCACTACGAGGCGAGCGGCACACTGACGTGCGTCTAAAGATTGATGCTTAATGGCGCAAATTTACTTAATAATTACCGCTTTATTAAGCATTATAGAAATAAATGGTTCAAGACTTTTCGACTTAATTTTTAATCAGGAATAACACTATTCACTCCATGGATGTTTCTTCAGTTACATCCTTTATATATGTATATATACATACATATATATGTACATATATGTATACACACACATATATATATATATATATATATATATATATATATATATATAATCAATTCTTTTGTTTATTTTCTATTTCAGGTGAACTTTGTCGCCCACTTAATTGCAAAAAGAAAGAACTTTGCCTCTTGGAAGACATGTTTACTGCTGTCTGCGTCTCGAAAAAAGAACTTCACAAATCAGGGTGAGTATCAAATTTATTTTACTTTATTTTATTTATTCTTTTATTCTTGAATATAAAAACCTTTTAAGACACACATACACACACACACACACACACACACACACATACACACACATATATATATACAGGGTGTCAATTTTCGACCTTAAAGAAATAAGGAAGTAGATTGGCTCAAATTAAAAAGGAATGACCTGTATTGTTTTGGGATTGTCGAAAAATTAAATAAAGAAGATCGGCCAATCTGCGTGAGTAGAAGCGTGCGGCGACGAGAGTCTTCCCACTGTAATCCGATACTACAAGCGCCGCGAAGCGGTAGGAGGGTCGCTCTCCAAGACATGATGATGGTTTGCGATATATCGTAATACCGCGCCGAAAAATGACCCGTCCTTTTAGTGGCGAGAAAATGATGCGCTATCATTTCCACATCACCTTGCGGTAGATAGCATGGAGCGCTTTTTTTATAGTGGTTTCCCCCATAGGCCTATTCCACTCTCAATTTGAAAATTATTCAAAATGCCATTACTATACGCTGAATATATCGTAAATGTAAAAAATTAATGGTGACAGTACCTTTACAAAAATTGATCCGTGATTGAAAATCCCTCGATAAAATGTATTGCATACGTTGATAATGATACGATAATAAAATGCTTTAAGAATCCTTTCTTCATCTCGTACACGAAGGCGCACTGCTGGACCGGTTATCCCGATATTCTGCACGACACCCAGTTTCACATAATTATTGCACAACACGTAAAATTGTATGTCCACTTGGTTTTTGTGCACACCCGGGAAATCGTTCCGCGTAAATTGCGGCCGCGCAATAAGTATTTTCTTCCGCTAGTCCGTATGCCACAATCATGTCCGTATATTCCTGCAGAGTATACTTCATTTTCACTGGTAATTAACTGCGTGAACACAAGATTTTTATTAAAACGTCTTAGCTCTCGTACGCTGTTACCAGACTGCGTACGGCAGCCAGGCTTGCCACCTCTTCGGTTTTGGTCCGGAGTCTTCGGGCGAAAGAGAAAATCTCCGGGTCTCCGGCCGAGAGAGAAAATCTCCGGATTGCCCTCCGAAACATTTAATTTTTTAAATGACTTTTTTTTGCTACGAAAATTCAAATATGATAGCGGTAAATTTAGCAAGGCATGCAATAAGCGCGGGCGCTTTTAATACCACTAGCAGCATTGTCGATCGTCAGCTATTGAAACCGTCGAGCGTTAACTGTTGAAAATAAAAAGTAATCGTGCAGTAACCAGTAGCTTTACTTTATCCGAGACAACTTGAGAGAGCAGTCCTTCGGCAGTACGGAGTACATTTTTCACGTATTATTCTCTTTCTCTTTCCGTTTCTTGGTTTTATAATTATTCATACTGTTTTAGTATTGCGAATTGTTCCCATTAAAATTGCAATTTTGACTTTTGAATAAACTATCCACTTTTTTAAGGTAAGAAACAAGAACATTTTGTACTATTATTACATTTGCATAGTTATCGATAATTTTTTATACATTAATAATCGTCTTTTATACATTAATAATCATCTTTCTTATTAATATATATACGTATTTACACATGCATATATTTGTAAAATTTACTTCAAAGAAAAATATTCACTATTTACATGTCCTATTTACATTGTATATTAAAAATGTTATTTATTTTAAACAGATTAAATTGTTGGTTAAATTGATAAAATTAATAAATAAAATGAATTCTCCTGAATCAAAAAAGAAAAAAATTGAGAAAAAGCAGTATTTAACAAAATTTCAAGATAATTGGTTTAATCAGAAAGAATACAACAATTGGCTAATTAAAATTGATATGTACACTGCTAAATGTACATTGTGTTCTACAAAGTTCACCATAAAATACGATGGAGAAAAAGCTGTAAAAAAACATTGTACCAGTAAGCAGCATAGAGAGTCAAGTTCCCAAAGATTAACTAACCAAATTGTAACAAATTTTTTTCCGTCAACTTCAAATTTTAAAAATGAAAATTTGAAAGTTGCTGTTGCTGAAGTTGCACAGATATATCATGGATTAAATCATCATCACAGTTATTTAAGTACAGAATGTGGAATAAAATTAAATAATGACATTTTTAAGGACTCAGCTATATGTTCAAAAATTTTTTGTGGAAGAACGAAAGTGCAATGTATTGTGGAAAATGTACTTTACCCTAAATCTATCGAAATGGTATTAGAAGAAATGCAAAATTTGCCTTTTTCTATTTCAACTGATGCGAGTAATAAAGGAAATAAAAAATTTTATCCGCTTGCCGTTCGTTATTTCCACAAGGAAAAGGGACTGCGACATAAAATTATAGATTTTTATGAAGATGCTGCTGAAAACTCTGAAGCAATATCCAAAAAAATAAAATTATCTATTGAAAAAAATGATTTAGATATAAAAAATTTAGTAGCATATGGAGCCGATAATGCTTCTGTTAACTATGGAAAAAATACTTCTGTATATCAAAATTTAAAGTCAAGCGTAAATAATAATTTAATTAAAGGTAACTGTCATTGTCATATTTTGCATAATGCAGCAAGGCATGCAATAAAAGCGTTATCATATGATGTAGAAAATTTAGTTGCGAAAATTTATGCAGAATTTAGCAATAGTTCTAAAAGAGTAGAAGAGTTAAAGTCATGCTTTGATTTTGTAGAAATGGAGTATGAAAAAGTAATAAGATATTCTCAAGTAAGATGGTTATCATTATTTCAAGCTGTTGAACGACTGATTTCTTCCTGGCCTGCTATAAAAATGTATTTCAAACAATTAGGTAAAGAGCACTGTCACAAAGTAGTTTGGGATTTTGTTAAGGAAGAAGAACATAAAATTGAGAGCAATCGGAAATCTGTTTCATATCCAGAATTATATTTATATTTTGTACATCATTATATAAATTTAATGACAAAATCATTGTTGTCAATTGAAAAAAATAATTTAACATGTATTGAATTGGATGAAATAATGAGATCCCTAAAACAAAAATTAGAAATGAGAATAAAGGATAAGTTTTTTGGATCTATGGTAAATTCTGCATTGAAATATATAGGAAAAGAAAATGAATTTATTAATGAAGCCATACAAGTTTATGAAAAAACGTTAAATTATCTTGAAAAATGGTATGATTATGATAAAAATATTTATAAAAAAATGGAAATTTTTAATTTAAAAAATGATAATTTTAATTATGAAAATGTGTTGGACGTAGCAACTTCTTTTAATATAATTATTAACAACGATAAATTATATGATGAAATAAATGTAGTAAAAAATATGTTACCTTATATAAATAACAATAACATTGATTCACTAGATGAAAAATGGAAAAAAATTTTTGCAAACGATGATGATAATTTAAGTGAATTATTAAAAATAATTCAATGCATTTTAGCGATACCGGTAAATAATAGTTATGTAGAAGGAATTTTTTCTATCATGAATAATGTGTGGTGTGATGAGCGAAATCGCTTAAAAGTAGAATCAGTAACAGCAGAAATTTGTACAAAAATGAATTACAAAATGAATTGTGAAGAATTCTATAAATATATAATGAAACCTGAACAAGCAGAGTTATTAAAAAGTGCAATAAGCAATAAAAAGTACACTTTTAAAGTTAAAAAATAAGCGTAGAAGTATGTTGCAATGTCGCAGTTCCTATAATATATTCCTATATATTAAATATTATATATTATATACTATATTCCCAATAATATATTCTTATAATATAAGTAAAATATTGTATTGTGCAATGTAGCAAAAATAAAGGAAAGTATAATACAAGCAAAAAAAAGTGCAATGTAATGGATGTATTTTTTCGCTTTTTTGTTTTTTTGATCTCCGGGCGAACCGAAAGTCTGAGGTGGCAACCCTGACGGCAGCAGCACGCAACTACAGCTGAGCGGACATGTAAACATTAAAAGTATTATTAGAGGACATTATCCTCTTCTACAAATTGAGTTTCTTGTGGCCGCTTGTTATCTTCAAATTCCAATGATGTCACATATTCGGTTGTCAAAGAAAAATCTTCCATACTATCAATAATTATCTGTTTTATACTGTTGCTTAATTCAACTTCTCTGTTATTAATAGCAGTTGGCGGTATGTTAGATATATGAAAAGTTGCTATTAGCATATTGATTATATGTGCTGGATTAATTTCCATCATTTTATCGACAATTTTTCGAGATGTAGATTTTAGTAGCGCAAATTTACCTCAACTCCAAAATAAATCCACTAGCCACATCAATTAACCGAAAATAAACAAGCCAAATTTGTAGTCTCGTAAAGATCCTCTGAAGATCTCGTAAAACGGAACCTGACATATAAATAAAGTTATTTAAAGTATAACAGTTTCTTATTCCAAAAAGAATGAAATGATGGGATGAAAAAAATTATATGAAAATAAGAAAATTTATATACGTAATATAAAAGAAACGAAACTTACGAAACTAACGGCTTGTAGAATTATTAAATTGACAATACTTCCAATAGCTCTTCACTGATTAATATTAAAATTAAGGCCAGACAGTATTTATAGAGAAATTTTAGAGGAAAATATAGAGAAAAATATAAAATAAAATTAATAAAAATATTAATCTTAATAAAAATATTAAAGATTAAAAACAACTTCGTAAGCAATACTACAGTTACCAAATCAGTTATCAACATACACTATATTTATTATCACTTTGAACTTCCTTCTAGATGATCCTTGATGATACACTGTTTCATAATGCATTTACATGTCGGAAATACATTATGAAACAGTGTATTATAAAAAACATATATATGGTTGAATTCAGAAAAATACTCTCTTTCTTCCATTATTACAAAAATACAAGAAATATTTTTAAACAACAAAAAATATTTTTTTCAATAAACAAAACTTTTTTTTTATTTCTGTTTATGCCATTTTGTAACAATTAACTTGCCGTTAAACTTTTATTTCAAACAATTTTTTGTATCTCTTGTATTTTAAGAGGTATACGCAAAAAAGTGTAAGCGCCCTTTTACCCTTGAGGTCGAGAATTATATCTTTAAAGTGAAAACGGGCACGAACTTTTTATATCGTTATTCATGTATTAAGTACCTCTACATATTCCCAAAGTTTGATCCAAATCGAAGAGTTCGGGTTCGCGGTGTTCCCTTGTCAGTCAGAAGTTGGCTATATCGCAGGGCCGAAAATGAAATGGTGGACGTCGCCCGCGATATTTCAAGCCGGAAAATCTCGTATAATATGTAAAATATTTACATTAAATCATACATCGTTATATTCGTTTCAAACAGCGCTACAACTTTTATTATATCAAAATATCTACATTATTATAAAAAAATTATACATATCTCTCCGTTCTTTAATACAGATAAATTTTGTAATCAATCACTATACTCACAATAAAGTTCAGTTAAAACCATTTAATTTCATATACATTTGTTATGGTCTATCTCTTTTAGTTTAAAAGATAAAAGGGGATGGCCACTTCTAGGTGAGACATTCTGTATAAGGGTCGGACTCGAATAGATTTAAAGATATAGGCTGAAAAAGGATAAAAAATAATAAATACAAAAATAAGGTAAACCTTCGGAAAACTCACCTATATAAAATAACGGGTAAAAATACCCAATTACTACATATTTTTATCTCCTGAACACAAATATGAAATTTAAAAATGGAGGCCAAACTCGCAAGTCGAAGAAAAACGCAAAAAACGTAAATTAAAAGTAAATAAAAAAAGTAAACAATTTAAAATATAGAATTTAATACAATTTAATACAATTAAAAAATATTAGAAATGTATGTGTACAAACACACGCGCGGGGTGCAAGGGGGCTCCCCTCCCGCAACCACCCCGCCGGTAGGCAAGGTGGATCTCGCTTTATAACTTACAGTGTATATCCATTGTAATTGAACTCTTCGCAATGCGTCCCCTAATGCGTTCAGGAGGTAAAATTACGTAGGAATTGGGTATTCTTATCTATTATTTCATATAGGTCGGTTTTCTGAAGGTTTACCTTATTTTTGTATTTATTATTTTTATCCTTTTTCAGCCTATATCCAAAGTTATTGAAGTCCGACCCTTATATATGTATATATACAAAATTATTCGGGAAGATCTCCCCTGTAACGTATTTAAAAATAAAGCAAATTGGAGAGGGGGGCCCCTTTTATGCATAAATACTTTAATAACTATTGAATAAAGAACGACCGCCGATTAAAACCTTCAGAATATTAATTCGAAATATGACCTTGACAACATATGGCAATGACACATTTGTGCGAGATCTCGGAATCCGTGGCTCGACGGGTGCCTTAACAGCAGTGGCGCTCAGCGCCAACCTTGCGCGAGCGGGCGTTCGGCCCGCAAGGTTTGTTCGGAATGGATAATCGGTCGCCTAGGTAACATCTCTGCCGTTACAATATGAAAAACGAAGCCGTAAAAAATAACAAAGAGTGTGATGTAATTTTAGGATAAGTCTTCATAAATCGTGGTTTCCACATTCTCACTTGAGCATATAAGATGCGTGCAGATTTTTAACACATTTTTTGATGATACGACCTCTTCGACAACCATTTCCCATGGAAGAACTTAATATGCAATCTCATACTGTTGTAGATAGGTCTAATTTTTGTCGTGAGGTATTTTTTATTAATTTTATATCTTTATATATAGATTTGTTTGTTTTATATATAAAAATTCTATTATCTCATTTAAATAGCTTTGTCTCGACTAGCTAAAAGACAATAGTGAAATGTTAGGAAAATTAGCAAGGTATTACAATAGAAATAGACGAAGCTAAAATTGGAAAATGCAATTTTCAGAAAGGTCAACATATTACTGAACAGTGGGTTTTTGGTGATTTTGAATGTAAAACGAATAAATTATTTGTTGACTGTGTATCTGACCGGTTAGCAAGTAAATTATTAATAAAAGATTATTAATAGTAATAAAAAATGTGGATCAAACACAATTATTATATCTGTTGGAAGGCGTATAATTGTCGTGCAACTGAAGGATACATACATCTTTCTGTTAATCATTCTTATAACTTTATTGATTCTGATAGTAAATCACATATTCAAATCATGAGAAAGCGTGGAGAGATACTCGTGGGAACATTATGACATGATATAATACTCGCAAACAACATTATTGCCGATTATATTACAGAATTTTTCTTCAAAAGAAAATTTTCATTTTTTAAATGTATAGAAGCATTTTTTTGATGTTATGGCAAAATATTATCCACTTTCTCTAATTAAAAAAAAACTAATAAAAAACAAAATATGTTTATATTATATAGGGTGGCTGATATTTTTGCAGTTTCGAAGTGTAAAGGTAGATTGGCTCAAATTGAGAAGGAAGGTTCTCTACTGTTTTGCGATATTCGCAATAATTAACGAAAAATTATAATAATTAAAGAAGATCGGCCAATCTGCGTGAGTTAAAGCGCGCGGCGACGAAGGCTAGTTTCACTATAATATAATGGCGGCAAAGGCGTTCTGCCCCTCTGCGGGGACCTCCACTTTCGAAAGACGTAATCTAACCTAACTTACTTTCCGATTTACAATTAAAATTTAGTTTAATTAGGTTATATCTTCCAAAAGTAAAGTCCTCAGTAAGGAGGGCGGAATCCACTTCATTTACGTATGTCTATAAAAGATAAAATGTCAAATAGACCAGTATAATGTAAATAAACCTTATATACATATACAATATTCTTAATACCTAAAAATAACCTAAGAAAACCCTTACAACTGTCCAACTACACTCGTTATATCTTCTAAACTAATGTCTAAAGTTTTATTTTTTGCGAGGAATTACTCAGGACAATTTTTTCTATACGTTCAAGCTGCGATAAAATCGGTACTGTAACCTTTTACGCACTTTTACTCCTCTTACAACTTTTCTTTCTGTTGCTTGCGTTTTAAATAACATGTATGTGCTTCGAATATGTGTGTGTAGTGCTTTCGACTGTCACACATATACAATCTGCCTAAGAACACTTCTTTCAGTGTGTGTGTACACACATATATATACATATACATATATATATATATATGTATATATATATATATATATATATATATATATATATAGGGTGTCAGGAAATTTTTCGCAGTCCTAAAGTGTGAAGGTAGATTGACTCAAATTAAAAAGGAAGTAAAGAAGAATGATAAATCTGCGTAGATACGCGCAGTGATGAAGGAACATGAAATGGCACAAGCCGCTCATGTGCATGATCCGTTGCGCGGTTCCCCCTCTCCCCGCAACTTTTATTTGACTTTAATTATGTTTTGAAACTTATAAAAACCATCTCATGTTTCAATTTTGACAAAAAAAAATTTGAAAGCAAAGCAATTTCAAATTTTATTGTAACAAAAATGGTGTTAACTCGAAAACAACGCATTTTCGGACCTATGTTTGTATCAACTTTTTTTCTTGTTTTTGGTTTCCAATTCATCTCCCGAGCGATTTACCTCGACTTACGGTACACCCTGTATATATATTTATACAGATTGTAGAGACTGAAAATTCTTCAACATTAGTAACCTTGAAACTGGAATTTCGTACTCATCACGTGATATCTCCAAAATAAACTTGTCTATCGTCCTTAAAGGAAAATTTTCATATTGAGACTTTATAATACACTTCTGCTTATAAAATACATAAGCGAAAATAAAAATACTTCCCTAATATAATTGAAACTATTAATTGTAAATATATTAAAAACTCGATCAATTCAATCATTATTGAAGTCCAATGATTTAAAATATTCTCAACTGACTGAATCGCATATAAATACATAGGTTGTTATTACGCGTGACTTGTAAATGCTATTTTTTTATTCTTGAAATATCATAATACTAAGAATTTTGTTAAATATTGAAGTTGGACTATTTTTTTGAAATCAATTATATTTTTTATATTAGTTTTTTCTTATAGTGTAATTTATTTTAAATTATATAAATCTATTTCTAGGGACATAGTGATTCCAAAATCTCGTGCAATTCAACGAATAAAGACCGAAGTTTCAGTCGATTCCGACGATGATGATGCCTTTTTTGATTCTGAAGACGACGACGATGATCAAGACGAATCAAAGTAAGTAATAATAAACCTTATTAGGACTTAGCATTTAACCTATTGTGAAAATTCATTTTAAATTTTGACTAATTAGAGATAAAATTAGAGTAAGATGTAAAATTCTTGAAGTTGGTATTTGTATGTAGAATTCGTATGTAGAATTTTATATTTCAAATTTTTATTCTTTAAGAAAAGTTTCGTTTTTTTTTAATATTTAATCTTTTCGTTTTTTATATATTTAATTTTTATTCTAATTTATGCGATATAAAATAAACAAGATTTTATCAATATTAGTATAAATTCGAGCAGTAAGAAATAAAATTTAGATAATTATGCATAAAAGGGGCCTCCTCTCCGATTTGCTTTATTTTTAAATATGTTATAGAGGAGATCTTCCCGAGTAATTTCGTACATATACTATATATATATATATACATATATGTATATACAGAGTGCATGTATGTCAGGGAATTTTTGACCTTCACGAAGTAAGGAGGTAGATTGGCTCAAATTAAGAAGGAAAGACCTCTATTGTTTTGTGATTGTCGTAATAATTAACGAAAAATTAAGTAAAGAACGGCCAATGCGCGTGGCTAGAAGCACACGACGGCGAAGGCGATCCGACTGTAATATAATGGCGGCGCGCGGTAAAGCGGTGATTGGAGAGGAGAGGAGCGATGAGTGTGTAAGCGCGTGGCGAAGGCTTTCTACTTCCAATCTTATAATAATGATAGGAATCAATTGGTGTAAAGAAAACACATAATTGTTTCGAAGAAAAAATATGTAATTTGCAATTAACAATTCCATATTTTTTCTTAAAAACAACTGTGTGTTTTCTTTACATCAATTGATTCCTCTCATTATTTTGTAAAAGTATTAAGGTAAGATAATTGAAAAATGAATATTTTATTAGATATTTTATGGTTTATGTAAAATTAAGAAATGGTTTCAAGCCTCGTAACTCGGAAAGTACTTCATGGAAACTAATTTAATTATAGTGTTTTGGAAAGCTCTAGAGATGAACTATAAGAATATGCAAAAGCATATAGGGTATCTCGTTTATAAAGTTAGATGTGACCTTTACGTGACCTTCAGGTGACTCTTTAATGTCACTCAAACTAATGATACTATCTTATGTCTCTCTTTAAACCATACAACTTTTGTCTGAAACATTTTTTTCTACAATCAAAATGAAAAAAGTTATGAGGGTGGAACTTTTAAAATGGGACATCCTGTATATACAGGATGTTAGAAAAGTCTGGAAACGGAACAAATATTTCGAAAACAAAACATTTCTGAGAAAAATGTTTCTAACCAAAATTGTATGGTTTGAAAGGGACCATCAGATAGTGGCAATGATTTGACCTTGGAGAGTCATTTGAAGGTCATGTAAAGATCACTGTCAATTTCTTAAACGGAATACCCTATTTTTTATTACTTATTCTTGTAACTTATCTCTAGAGCTTTCCAAAACACTATAATTAATAATTTCTTCATTGAGTACTTTTCGAGTTATGAGGCTTGAAATAATTTCTTAATTTTACATATTATATAGTATGGCAATATGGTTTATATAAATTTGTAATTTTCTATGCAAAGCCAGGTATATTCCACAATTCAGACACAGGTTGAGTTAGGTTATGTCTTCCAAAAGTGGAGCTCCCCGTAGGGGGGGACATGCGATATCCGCGCGTGTACTTTGCAAGAAAAAGCAAAATTTACAAATACATATATTCTATTCAATATATTTCTTCTTAAAAATTTATGATATGGTAAAATTATAATATATCTATATTTATATTTGTGACTTTTCACGCGAATTTTTGTATTTATTATTTTTATCCTTTTTCAGCCTATATCCGGTGATGCGCTGTTGTGGGGATAAAGTCGCGCATGCGCACTAGCAAACGCTATAACTTCTCAGTAACGTATGTATTTTGATGAAATATTAGGTATCATCAGACTCCTCTCAGTGCGAAAAAAAATATTAAATTGCAAGGAGAGAAGAAAATTTCTGTTAAAGAAATTAAATACATTAAATACAATAATGTACTTTGTATATAACACAATACACATTATTATGGCTATTGTATATAACACATTTATATACAGTACATTTATAACACACGTTATTATGGCTACTATATACAGGGTGTCCCATTTTAATGCATCCAGTCGAATATCCCGAAAACGAAGTCCGAAAGAGAAAAATGTTTCAGACAAAAGTTGTATGGTTTCAAGGGTGCCATAAGAGGTTACCATTGGTTTGACCCTGAAGAGTCATTTGAAGGTCATGCAAAGGTTACTTTGATTTTTTTAAATCGAACACCCTATATATTTTTGCATATTCTTGTAGCTCATCTCGAGAGCTTTCCAAAGCACTATAATAAAGTATTTCTTCATCGAGCACTTTTCAAGTTATGAGACTTGAAATAATTTCTTAATTTTACATAAACCATAAAATATCTAGTAAAATATTCATTTTTCGATTATCTTACCTTAATATTTTTATGTACAAAATAATGAGAGAAATCAATTGGTGTAAAGAAAAAACATAGTTATTTTTAAGAAAAAATATGTAATTTGCAATTAACAATTACATTTTTTTTTTAAAACAACTGTATGTTTTCTTTACATCAATTGATTCCTCTCATTATTTTGTACATAAAAGTATTAAGGTAAGATAATCGAAAAATGAATATTTTACTAGATATTTTATGGTTTATGTAAAATTAAGAAATTATTTCAAGTCTCATAACTTGAAAAGTGCTCGATGAAGAAATACTTTATTATAGTGCTTTGGAAAGCTCTCGAGATGAGCTACAAGAATATGCAAAAATATATAGGGTGTTCGATTTAAAAAAATCAAAGTAACTTTTGCATGACCTTCAAATGACTCTTCAGGGTCAAACCAATGGTACCCTCTTATGGCACCCTTGAAATCATACAACTTTTGTCTGAAACATTTTTCTCTTTTGAGCGTGGTTTTCGAGATATTCGATTGGATGGATTAAAATGGGACACCCTGTATATCACATTACACGTTATTATAGCTACTGAAAAACACGAGAAAACTATATGGGAAAGGATCTTTTATGCGCACTTAATGTTGTATCTAGATACATATGTGATATCAGCTATAACGTAAGCTTACGCATGCGCATAGAGGCTCTCGCGTGGGAAAAAATCCCACGACAGCGCATCACTGCTGATATATCTCCAAATCTATTTGAGTCCGACCTTTATATTGTGACGTGACGCTTGGCGGTCCGTCACAAGGATCGCGAGATCTGACTAGTAGTATTTTTGGGCCCTCGTTCTCCCCTGACTTAGGGAGAGCGAGCGAATATTGGAGACGAGGGTAGGCTCGCTTCTCCTTATGTAGAGTTAATTATAAGAGTAGAGTTAAGCAGACGTGATGGAGGACGTTAGCGGAATCTCATCCGGTGACTCGACCCGGCGCAGAAGACCAGACTAAAAGAAATGCGGGACGAGCGGAGGCGCCGATTATAAGGAGAATGCCGAGCTAAGTAGCCCTCTCTACTTTTGTAAATCGAAAAACCTATTTGAAAACACCGCTGCCGCTCTTGTACATTTCCTCCACGCTCAGCAGATACGAGGAATAATCACGGGGAAGGTCGACCAATAAATAAAAGCGAACACCGGAACCCCGAAACGGAGCCAGCTCGGCTGGATTAAGAGCTACAGGAAATCTATAAAAGTAATGGCGAGCGGCTTCCGGAAAACTCCTCACACCAGGCTGTAATCAAAGAGCCGAGAAAATTAGAACGAAGCAACAGGGTGGTCCTGTTGGCCCTGAAGGCCGGAGGAGTAATTAAAATCAGTGACGATCCTGAGGGTCCTTGCGGAAGCGCCACAAGTGGCCTAGTTACGAATTAATTTGCCGGCATGATTCCGACAGGCCTTCCGCTCGTCACTGTTCGGCGGACCAGCGTAGAGTACGACGGCCCAAAAGGATCGATCTATTGCGTGAATGCCGCGAGCATCCAAGGACTTCAAGGAGTCATCGGTGAGACGAGTGTCGACCTCCTCAGACCGTTTTATCGTTTGTGTATCAGGTAGAATTAGCCCGAACAGAATCCGTGCCGAATTGCTGCCGTTGAAAAATTCTTTACTCGAGATTAATCCGAGTTTCGATAAGTGCTTAGTGGAATGCGACGACCGGCCGACATACTTTGTTCGAGCTACGATAATATTAAGTGCCCTCTCTCCTAGTTAAGCGCCGACAGTAAAATTTCTTGTCTTTTCTCCTTGCGATTATTGTTGCTTGTGAAATTCTTTGTAAAGTAAACTTGTGATACGACGAACTCACACACAAAGACGATCGCGATATTTGATAGCCGGCAGATGCGATGCGGCATCGATTCGCGTATCCCTGTGACGTGAATTGTTCGATCCGTTATGATAGCTTATTATTCGCGTTTCTAATGTTTTATTACCATTAATTGTTCGCGCTCATGTTCGATCGTTTATCTTGTGTAATTGCTTAGTCGCTCAATTCTTCCGTTATTGCCGTAATTCTGTATTTGTCTGATCGACTCACGTTAATAATCGATTCTAATAATCTCGCGTTTGGCGAATTTATCTATCGTCATTCTTTAATATTTTTTGGCTCACAATTGACGGATGTCATTATTAGAACCATCATCGCGGTATTCATGATTCAAGCGGAATTTGTAGCTGCTGAGGCCCCGTGACGTCTCGTTTAACGCAAAATTCCAAGACTTTCTTTACGCTGCTTTTTCTATCGCGTGACACGTGATACCGCGGTGATCGCGCTCGAATACCGGCCCGTCGCTGCCGGTAAAATTTGCCATAATCGATTGTAAAACATCTTTCAATATCTACGTGAATCTGTCTCGTGTTGAACTTTATCTATTTGTTAAATATATTCATTCTTATTATTCTAATATTCTGTCTTATTTGCAGTCATCTTGTATTCTCCTTCCTTGTTAATTATTAAAACGGACCGCCCCCTCTGCCATTTTCGAGACGGA